TTTATCTGATTTCGAATAACATCTCAAATTAATGAATTTCGTCTCATTTTGCTTCATTGAATTTTTTCAAAGAGAGGATGGGTATTGCACGAAAATACGGCGATAAATATACCATCAAAAAAAAATTGGAATCCATTTTAGACTGATGAAACTCGGTGTAAATAAATCACGAATGGGTATTTCGTGGGTAAAAAAATAGAAGATGAAAACTTAATTTAATTAATCCTGATCACTAACACATATTTTATTAAATGTCATTAACTTTAATTAATATGTTATGTGCGTACTGATTGCTAACTACGCCTGGGCATTGATTATTTCCGTTGAACAAAACCTTCGGAAGTTGTTACTGTGTTGTTTTGGATCAAAGAATCGGGTTAGGGTTGCGAGTAATATAATTATTACATCTATATTTTCGATTCGATTGATCTTAGGTATTAATTACAGCCCTGCCTAATTCTGCCGCGAAATTGTCACGCGTTTCGGTTAAAACAGTGGTATAAGCTCTTATCTATACTAATATATAAATCTACAGTGGTTTTTACGGATGTTCCGTTATAACTACTGAGCCGTGCATCCGACTGACTTGAAACTTGGTATCCATGTAGAAAATACATGTACTTAATAGGCTAATATTTATATATATTTTTTTTTTTTTTTATTGCTTAGATGGGTGGACGAGCTCACAGCCCACCAGGTGTTAAGTGGTTACTGGATCCCATAGACATCTACAACGTAAATGCGCCACCCACCTTAAATAAAATATTTATATGAGTGTTGGACTCCCTACACCAGTTGCGGGGGCGTTAATGATGAAAATCTTTGTGGGGGTGAGAAATAATAAGGTTAATTTTAAATGCCGGCGGACGGAGACCGTGCAGTAGTGTTTTTTTTTTTTGGTCAGGAAATTGCCGGACTTCCGCCCTTCTCTGGGGATACTGGGCGGGGTATGTCAGAGTCGAACTGACTAAAACCTCCTGTCGCAAAGGGGGGAAAGTGAAGCGTTTAGTGCGGAGCACATCTCTCCCATCACCTCCCCCTCGGGACGCCGGACTGGCGGTCGTCGGACGGGTACAGCTAGTATAATATAATTCGCATCTAAAGGAAGATCTTTCGGATTTCGGGTTTACGGGTGGAGGTATTTACGCTATGATAACTTACTTAGCTAAGATCTGGTCACTGCTTAACACGAACTGTTGTTAATAGAAGGTCTAATGAAAAATACGTGAAGATAAACTTTCTATTCCCTTCCAAAGCACAAGTCTCGCGCGGATGAGTGCGAAAATTGGCATAGTTTAAATAGTGAAAGGTTAGATAAATAACACTGCAGGTATAAATACGTCAAGTTAACTAAAGTATCCATTGTTTACGTTCATACACTCCAATAACTAAGAATGTTGAAATTTGGTCGGATTTTAATAACTTTTAATCAATTTTTAAAGAGCACATTGTCTTCTTTTAGCACATATACATTTTATTAACTCAATTTTGATAATAAGCCTTCATTAACACGATAATATGAATGTTATAATTTAATGTAATTTTTATCAATCATCAAATCGAAATGATTCTTCAGATCAATACGCATTTTTGCGAAAGTATTACAATGGTAACATTGACAGATTCCTCACAAAAAGCGTCGGTGAGATAATTCTTTTTCGTGCTCAAAAAGAACTGCTCAGCAATCGAAAGTTTCAAATTAATGTATTAATTATAAATCCGAGGTCAGAACTAAATGATATTAGAACGAATATTGTCGGCCCTATCAAAAAATAAGCATTTATAAATTATCTAAGGAGTCGGACAGCGAAGTTTTCCGTGTACAGCGACCTTACGAGCCCACAGCAGATAAAAATGATACATTTATTATAATTATTATGTAGTTTGTTATTATCGATGTTTAATTATTGATTATGATTGTATTAGGGCACAAGGAGGTAGCGTATTTTGGAACCCACTAAGAATTGGTACCGACATCTTATTTCTGTGACAAAACAATAATATTTTGTACGTATTTACGTTGTAACTATACTGAGATCTTAGAACTTATATCTCAAGATGGGTGGCGCATTTACGTTGTAGATGTCTATGGGCTCCAGTAACCACTTTACTCCTTAGGTGGGCTGTGAGCTCGTCCAACCATCTAAGCAATAAAAAAAAAAAAAAAAAAATATTTTGTGGTATTTTGTATATTTTGTGTATTATAATATTTTGAAGTCGTCGTGGCCTAAAGAATAAGACGTCCGGTGCATTCGTGTGTAGCGATGCACCGGTGTTCGAATCCCGCAGGCGGGTACCAATTTTTCTAATGAAATACGTACTCAACAAATATTCACGATTGACTTCCACGGTGAAGGAATAACATTATAATTTATAATTTGCGTAATCACTGGTGGTAGGACCTCTTGGGAGTCCGCACGGGTAGGTACCACCACCCCGCTTATTTCCGCCCTGAAGTAGTAATGCGTTTCGGTTCGAAGGGTGGGGTAGCCGTTGTAACTATACTTGAGACCTCAGAAACTTATATCTCATGGTGGGTGGCGCATTTACGTTGTAGATGTCTATAGGCTCCAGTAACCACTTAACACCAGGTGGGCTGTGAGCTCGTCCAACCATCTAAGCAATAAAAAAAAAAATATTGTCATACAATTCACGAAATTAGTAGAGACGGTTTTTTATTAATTGCAATATTCTCTTTGATACGAAACTGTGTAGTTTTGAGTCTATTTTTGAAAGTATCAAGTTTTTAGATCAATTTATTCTGTGCTGTAATACATTAGGAACAATTGGCAACATTAGCTCGCTCTTTTGCCGAATATTTAGGCCAATTTGGTTTATTTTCTTTATTTTGTCTCTTTGTCCGCCAGTAGCTTCAACGGGTTATTGTGGCTTCATCATAAAAGGCGTGGTAGCTCTCAGCCTTAAATACCTAACCCTAGCCCCAGTAAAAGCGGTGGTTCACTGAATCTACCGCGGATCGGAATCGCGACCCATTGAGAAGAATAGGCGAGAAACTCCTTGAGCTAAGGCACAACAATTCTGGGCTATCTAAATGAGAAGTGGCAGCATTTATTTATACTGATTAGGACCTCTTGTGAGTCCGCACGGGTAGGTACCACCATCCCGCCTATTTCTGCCGTCAAGCAGTAATGCGTTTCGGTTTGAAGGGTGGGGCAGCCGTTGTAACTAAACTTGAGACCTTAGAACTTATATCTCAAGGTAGGTGGCGCATTTACGTTGTAGATGTCTATGGGCTCCAGTAACCACTTAACACCAGGTGGACAGTAAGCTCGTCCACAATAATAAGCAATAAAAAAAAATTTTTTTTTTTACTTACAATCACGCCACGTTAACTGGTCCCGTGCTAAGTTCGTAAAGAACTTGTGTTACAGGTACCAGATAAGGGAAATAAATGTAAGATTTTTATTATACACATACATATATTTAATATACATCCATAACCCTGGAAAAGACATTTTATATTTATCATGTAAATATCTTCCCTTGGCGGGGTTCGAACCCGTGACCCCTTTGCGTAGTGACCATGTCACTTACCACTACACCAGACGGCCGTTGAATTCAACGAAAGAAAAACATACTTATTGTTTAGTTAATAAATTTTAAAGTTATTCTGAAACGCAATTGAATGTATCCATAATACTTTGACCGGAACATAATTATTATCGGACTTAGATTTTTTTTTTAATGTTAACGATTGGAATATTTCCAAGATACCGAGTAAGAGATAACGAACAACAAAAAAAACGTTATTCGTTAATTATGTTAGCAAATAAAACATAATTATTTAACATGCCCTTTGAACATTGATTCTCATAACAAGTTTGACGTTGGCGGTAGGGCCGATCCACTTAGCATAAATAAATGTCGAATTTTTAGGAATATAACCATGGAATGTTGGTCAAGGATGCTTTAGTGACATTATAATAAGTAAACGAACATTTTTTATTATTTCCTTAAAGTATATTCATTCATAAATTGTCAATACTCATAAAAAAATCTTATTAATAATGTATAAGTACAAAATAAATGTTGTGCTGCTTGCCAGTAATAGTATTGGCGTGTTTTATTTTATTTTCTTTGTGGTTTCATTGTAGGCTGCCCACAGTTTGTTAAGCAGAAAAAATTATAATATAAAAAATAATAATATAAGAATCAATGCTAAATTCACAGAAAATTATTTTTAAATTATTATTTTTATATGTTTATAGCTTAGTAAAAACGCGCGAGTTAAGACGCTTACGTACAGCTTAGCGCGGGCTTTTTAACTTCTCGATCGCGTAAAAGTTAACTCAAATTAATGTATGGAGTTGGAACAGCGCCCCTAGCGGCAAACGAAGGGAAGCTGTTCCAACTCCATACAAATTTATGTACTAAGTACACAGGTATCTAGTACTTGTAATCAAACTACGCAATTCGCTATTCCGACACTCCGTACTTAATACGCATTAATATAGAGTCGATTTATCTACGGTTCGCGTTCTAAATGTTAAATAAATAATAGTTTAAAAAAACGGAAAAAATACGCTTTTATAGAAAATCCAACTAAAAAATAGAAAAGAATAAGAAAAAAGAAAAGCGTGGGGTGCTTTTCAGGTATCATCAAAATAACCCTTCTACTCATATCTGTTCATAAAATATTTATAACTACCAATACCATGCACCCCGCGCTTTTTTTTACAATAAAATCATTTTTTCTTACATTATTTTTAATTCAATTTTTTTTTGTTGGATTTTCTACAAAAGCGTATTTTGTTAGTTTTTTTAAACTATTATTTATTTTAATTTTTTAATTGAATTTTAATTTGTTCAACATTTAAAAAAAAAATTAATTAATTTAAATATTGAATTGCCATCGGTCCTTAATAAGTATACCAAATTTCGAGTTAATCCGACGTTTTGAAGGGGGTCAAAATCATGTTCAAAGATTCCGTTACATACATACGTTCTGAAGCTAATAAAAGCGTATTGAAAACACTTACCGAGAACAAAGCAAGCCGTGTAGGCGCCGCCGCCGATCGCCGGCTCTAGGAATTCGAATATAACGAACATGTTGTAATTAACGGACAAGGCTCGTATTATGCCGAACAAGCCGTTCGCGACCGAAGCGAACACGATCGCGGGCCGCCGGCCGTACTTGTCCGATATCAGTCCGGTCAGTGGAATCGATATGAAGAAGCCGGCATTGTGGACGGTGCCTACCAGTGAGCGCTTCCAATCCTGGCAGGCTAGGTCGAACTGAAAAAGAAGATAATTATTGAATTGAAAATAATAGCAAAACAACCAGTAGGTCTGAAAGTTACACGAGCGAAATGTGAAATCTTTGTGACTAGTTTTTTTCCCTACCTATGCTGATGGTCTAGAGCAGCTTTTTCCAAAGTGGTTGATAACACCCCTGGCACTGCAGGCCTAAAGGTGGGCGGTATGAGACCTAGAAAATGGGGACGTTGTGTAGAGGCTTGGGAGGCGATTTGTAATTTCATCTGACTGAGCTCTCGCTACAGTGGTTTTTAAGTAGGTGAAAAAATAGGGATGCTAAAAAGTAATTTATTCTTGAAGTGGGCAGTAGACAAAATAAGTTTGGGAGTCCCTGGTCTAGAGAGACCATGTCAGCATCACCAGGATAGTAGGTGAGCTTACGGGGCTCAAACCTGACGATGTTGCTAACACGAACCCTAGCAAGAGCCGTGCTTCGCAGAATCTACCACCGGATCGAAAACGCGACCCACTGAGAAGATCCGGCGAGAAACTCAGTGGGCTGTGTCTGTTGGTTAATTTACTCGCCGAGCCCTTCGTCGCAAGTGACGGGTTTGACGAGAACGATGACCGGTATGAGTAGTGAGGCAGGTGTAAATAGCATTATGTTATGTCGACGCAAGACTCGGATGTGTAAGAAAGTTTTTTACATTAAAAAGCTATCCCAAGGAAACTTTATTCATTCTTCTCAACAACTTTAACGACGACCAAAGCCACGCTTGCCTTTACTCGTTTATGCATCGTAACTAGAGTGTCCATAATTTTATGCAGAAATTTTCATAAACTTTTGTGATTCGAGAAGTGACATTTTTGGGCCGACGAGTTCACCGTTCCCGTGACGCATCGATCGATGTAAATCACGCAGATCGATTTTTTTGAATGCTAAGATAATGGACCTCATCGCCTACCTAGTGTTAAGTGATTATCCGTAGACGTCAAAAACTTAAATGCCGCCACACACCTTCGACATAAGTTCCTAAGTCTCAGTTTTTGGAGTACAATAGCTGCCCTACCCTTCAAAGCGAAACGAATTACTGCGTCGCAGAAATAGGCAAGCTGATACCTTTTTCCTACCCGTGCGAGCACACAGGACGCCCTACCGCCAGTATCATAGATGCCTCAACCATTAAATCAGTTTAATTAAAAACGTGACGCGTGGCTGGTTCGCGAGAGGAATGGGTAGAATGATGACGCATACTCGTGCAGCTTACAATCTGATCGCAACTAATTTATAAGTAAACAATGAATTCGGTTTTGTTCAGACGAGGAAACATGGAAATACGAACGTCGATAATGTTTTTTACAGCGAATATAAACCAATGTGTGGCGACGGCGGGACGACTCAATGGAGCGCCTTGTGGTGCAAAGCATGATTGAGGGTATAAGCCGCGCCAATAAAGAAACGACGTGACCACGAGAACTGTAAAGCATTCTAAGCGTCCGATAATATTATGTTATAACAATTAAAAATGCGAGATTAAACCGTAATAGTAGTATATAGTAAAATGTATAATGTATCAATTAATTATCCCTATAATATATTAATACGTCAAGCAAAAACTTTGTATCCCTTTTTACGAAAATTGCGCGGACGGAGGAGTATGAAATTTTCCACACTTATAGAGAATAATAATATAGAGAAGTGCACAATGCTAATTTTTTTTTAAATTATGCATAAAAGATACATTAAATCAATAAAAAATACATTACACACACTACATACCATATATTTGACGCACACACGCATGCATACTATTTATTGTCAAACCTTTGTTCTTGACGTCTGTTGTCAAATTGAGAATAAATTAAATATTGTTTGTCTTTGTTAATATTTTTTATAATGTGTAGTCTTGGCGAAATTTGTGATTATAGAAGTATAAAATACAATCATAATAGTGTACAAACTTACGATTCCAATTAATTATAGTCGAATTTCGACTACTGCGGAACCTCTAGTCCCTATAATTCGTGGTCGATTGAAAGAGAATCCTCTTATTGCAGAGGTTGGAGAGCTCGTAACTGTTTTTAGCTTTTTATGTTTTTTTGTGTTCACGAGCACTAATGTTTCGCTTTTTTTTCTACCTATTCGCTGATAGCACATTAGGCCTATTCCAACTACGCTCGCACAGGTAGGTGAGCTCACGGGCTGTACCTGAGATAATAGTCTAACACTAGCCCTAACAAGAGCAGTGCTTTGCAGATTGTCTTTTTTTTATGATTAATTTTTTTATTGCCCTTGTAGGCAGACGAGCACACGGCCCACCTGATGGTGAGTGGTTACCATCGCCCATGGACTTCAGCAATGCCAAGGGCAGAGCCAAGCCGCTGCGTACCGTTTAATACTCTCCACAAGCCTCGTTTGAAAAAGGGCATGTTATAGCACTCGGGAAACATCGTGGAGGGGAGCTCATTCCATAGGCGGATGGTACGTGTCAAAAAAGACCTCCGGAAATGCACCGTGGATGACCGCAGTGGCTCCAGATAGTATGGATGAACTCTACTCCGGTGGCGGGCGGTGCGATGGTAAAAACGAGATGACGGTATCATCTCGAACAATTCCTCAGAGCACTCCCCATGGAACATACAGTACAAAATACAGAGGGAACCGAAGTCCCTCCGCAGACCCAGAGGTTCCAAACGATCCGTGAGAATGGGATTATCAACAATCCGAACGGATCTATCCAACGAATCCAATTATTTACCTTTATATTTTTGGTGGTAGGACCCACTGTGAGTCCGCGCGGGTAGGTACCACCACCCCGCCTATTTTTGCTGTGAAGCAGTAAAGCGTTTCGGTTTGAAGGGTGGGGCAGCCGTTGTAACTATACTTGATACCTTAGAACTTATATCTTAAGGTGGGTAGCGCATTTACGTTGTTGATGTCTATGGGCTCCAGTATCCACTTAACACCAGGTGGGCTGTGAGCTCGTACACCCATCTAACTAATAAATAAAAAAAAAAGATTTACTATCGGATCGGAATCCCGACCCACTGAGAAGATCCAGTGAGAAACTCAGTGAGCTGTGTCTATGGGAGTTTCACATAGAGGCCAGGGGGGCATATCGTCTCCCAGCGTGGCTGGTTAAAAGGCTTCTTCTGCGTCACCACTGATTAATTATTAATTTACTAACATAAAACACGAGAAAAATGTGGATTGCATTAATAAACGGCGTTTCGGAATAATGTTATATTAGTAACGCCGCACACTCTTAATAATCTATGGAAACGGTATTGTATAGGTACCGTGTTAAATTTTGATTTAAATTGATTAAGTATAGACTGTTTACGTTGGTACGATTGATAAAATTAGATCTACCCACATATTTTTTGCTGTAAAACTACTACTACTGCTTACTGGTGTACATGTCATTCGTAATGTAAATACAATGCTGGCCTAGTGTACTGAGTATCTCGCCGAATCTTCTCAGTGAATCGAGATTCCGATCCGGTGGTAGATTCATCGAAGCAGTGGATTTGCGGGGGCTAGTTAGCAAGTTCGCCAGGCTTAGCCCTGTGAGCTCTCCAGCATGTTAGTTGAACCTAATATAACCTTTAATGGTGGTAGGACCTCTTGTGAGTCCGCGCGGGTGGGTACCACCACCCTGCCTATTTCTGCCGTAAAGCAGTAATGCATTTCGGCTTGTAGGGTGGGGCAGCCGTTGTACTGAAAAACTGAGACCTTACAACTCATGCCTCGAGGTAAGTCACCCATCATGATGAGCATACGGCCTACCTGATGGTAAGTGATTACCGTCGCTCATGGACGTCAGCAGTGCCAGGAGCACAGCCAAGTCGCTTCCTACGTTTGAATAATATTCGCGATCCTCTTTTGGAGAAGGACATGTCATAGCGCATTATTTACTAGACGTTATTATACCTTAACTAAAGTCAATCGTCAACATATGTAATTCTCGCATGCACTGTTGAGCGAAACGATATGCTTTAAATTATTTTTTGCACCACAAACGCTGTAAGTACACTAAGTATTACGTTGAACCGGTTACCGTCCTCGTCGAACCCGTCGCTTGCGACGAAGGGCTCGACGAGCGAATTAACCCATAGACCCAGCCCACTAAGTTTCTCGCCGGATCTTCTCGGTTTTCGCGATGGGTCGCGTTTTCGATCCGGTGGTAGATTCTGCGAAGCACTGCTCTTGCCAGGGCCAGTAGTTAGCAACACTTCCGGTTTGAGCCCCGTGAGCTCACCTACATGTTAGGGCGAAGCCGAAATAGCCTCTCAAGGCTATCAGCATAGTTAGGAAAAAAAAAAACGTTTGATGTCTTCAAAATAGTGACATTATAATAATATACATCGGTAGCGCGTGCAAATGAAGCGGTTCTCATATGAAAATTACTCTCACAATGGATATCCGTCATTTAAGCGGCGTAATGACTATGATTAGAGAGTAATTTTTTTTAAAAAAATTTTTTAATACAGAGTTACACGTCATAATCTATGACAAACGTCCGATGTTATTCCCGATGTTCCGAGATAAAATGTTTCTTGGTCGGTCAATATGTGAATTGAAAATTTCACTGGTTAATAATAATTCACGAGTCAACACCAAATTTGACTTTGATTGCAAAGCATAAAATTTCGATATTTTAGATCGTAATTAGACATGGCATGAAACAGTTTGCTTTTGAACTTTAATAAATTGACCACATATGAAACAAAATGCATCAGCATCGTATTTATACTTTCGTGACATTTTAAGTTTTTCTGGGCTTGTGCAAGACACCTGATCGTTGTTTATGACTCGAGTGCCATCTAGTGGCACTGTGTAAACGTAAACACACCACTCTCATAGCGCGGTTTTTTTGAAAGTATTAAACTTAATTAAGATTTATAAAAAATTTGAAAAATTAGTATTATTACTATAACTATCACAAAAGCAAACTTTGTACCAAAAAAGGTATTTTATTTTCGTTTTTGTGAATAATTAACCGGAAAAACCTAGTATAAACCTAAGGACAAAGAACGAATTTTTTTTTGTAGAGTTGTGATTCATAGGTATTTTATTTTTGTCCTAATTATTCACTGGTAGCTGAAGGGAAAAGACCCGCCGGCCGGCCAAACCGTTTGTCAGATAAGATAGCTGCGCTCACTGGAATCTCTGTTGCGACCGCCCTGAGAGAAGCCGAAAACCACAGGAAATGGAAGCTGATGGTACAAAGAGCCACGAAGGGCTTTCAGGGACACGACCTTCAGCAATGAAGTATGCGACTAAGAAGAAGAAGCTTAAAGGGCTATTCCAGCTACACCCAGACGGGTAGGTGAGCTCAACTTGAGAGAATTTGCTGACACTAGCCCTAGCAAGAGCAATGCTTCGCAGAATCTATTACATGGATCGTAATCGCGACCCACTGAGAAGATCCGCCGAGAACCGTTGTAGCTATACTGAGACCTTAGAACTTATATCTCAAGGTGGGTGGCGCATTTACGTTGTAGATGTCTATGGGCTCCAGTAACCACTTAACACCAGGTGGGCTGTGAGCTCGTCCACCCAACTATGCAATAAAAAATAAAATAAAATAAAACTCAGTCGGAAATGTACCACCACTGTTTGAATAACGCCACTTGGAGTCATTTGATCGATCGTTGAAGTCCGAAAATTATAAATCGAAACGGAAGATTATGCTTAATTAATTTTTAATTCCGTATAGCCCTAGGTCGTAGGTCTGTGAGCTAGAGATATAAACCACCAGCAAAAAGACTTACATGCGAGGGCTTTGTGCATTCATATTTGTCTACATTGTCATTCGTCGACACTCAACAGTAAGCAGGTGAAAAAGGAAAAAGGTTGGACGAGATTTACCAGAGAAATTGCGGCTTGAGGCGGTTGTCGAATGAGAAATAAGCAAAAAAACAGCACTTTCACTGTTTCGATTTCTATAAAACTTTCGGAGAATTCCGAGTCTGAGATAAGTAGCCGTTGAAAACAATGTCAGAATCACAATCAATTTACATGAAAGATTATGTTTTTATACCGATACTATAGAGACGGCGCAAATGTTGGCCAGTTACCGAAGCTAATAGAAAATATAATGTGAATTCAGATTTAATCAAAATTATAAGTCATACTTAACTTCAAAATACAACAAACTAAAATACTGGTGGTAGAACCTCTTGTGAGCCCGCACGGGTAGGTACCACCGCCCTGCCTATTTTTGCCGTGAAGCAGTAATGCGTTTCGGTTTGAAGGGTTGGGCAGCCGTTGTAACTATGCTGAGACCTTAGAACTTATATCTCGAGTTGGGTGGCGCATTTACGTTGTAGATGTCTATGGGGTCCAATAACCACTTAACACCAGGTAGTCTGTAAGCTCATCCACCTGTCCAAGCAATAAAAATAAAAATAGCTATAAAATAAATATATTCACCTCTTTAACAATGCTATGTTCTTCCAAATAAACAAACGAATCACATTCAATTTTCGTTGAAGTGTCGAAGTAGTGAGGCGAACAGTGCGTACCGTTTAGGGTACCGTTCTCGAACGGAGCGTACCGGGTACATTTGGCTAGCGTACCGTCCGTTTCGTGCGGTATCGTGTAGTTGTTTTTATGCGGGTCCTCCTCACATTCTGGAACTGTACATCTGTAAAAAAAAGATATAACCGTAACTAATAGCTGGGATCGTTTAAGGATCGGCCATTTTCATTTTCCTTATTAACTACTTATATTTATTAAAAAAAAGGTAACCAATTTAATGTATCATTTACAGTTTATTTATGTGTAGTAGCCGGTGTATGGCTCCCGAAAATGAAGACTGGTGGTAGGTTTAGTGATTGTTGATTCGATCTTCCTCCTTCGCACGTCGACGCGCTCATGACCGAGGTTCATGAATTCCCTGGACAATATTTACACAGACCAGGCTCACCTACCCACGACGGCTGCCACACAAACAGCATTAATATACTAGATAACAGCGTATTTAAACGCTCGAGGGTGTAGGATTCGAAAAAAAGAAAGCACATGGAACTGCCACTGTGATTAATATTTTCCTCCACTTTGCCCATGTCCCCGCCATATTTCTATATTTTACGTCAGGGCTTTAGAGAACCTTATGGTGGTAAACGTACTCGTCGAACTAGGCAAAGATTTCGACTCGGAATTTAGCCCATGCATCATCCCTCTGAATTTCTCGCCGGATCTTCACAGCGGGTCGCGATTCCAATCCGGTAGTAGATTCATTCACGAAGCAGCTGCCTTTGAGTTGTTAGGTCTTCTTTGGAGGCGCTCGGGCAGATGTTAGCAAATCCCACCTCTCCTGGCTGAGCCTTTGCTCGCCCACCTGTCCTGGTGAAACTGGAAAGGCCTCCGGGCCACCAGTAATCCCTCATTCATAAAAAAAGTACCTCATGTTATTTGTATCTTATACACGGCACCGCAACTTTCTCTATCTTTTTATTTATTTATTTATTTTTATTGCCTACTGGGTGGACGAGCTCACAGCTCACCTGGTCTTAAGTGGTTACCGGAGCCCATAGACATCAAGGTCTCAGTATAGTTACAACGGCTGCCGCACCCGTCAAACGGCTTCACGGCAGAAATAGGCAGAGTGGTGGTACCTACCCGTGCGGACTCATAGAGGTCCTACCACCAGTAATTACGCAAATTATAATTTTGCGGGTTTGATTTTTATTACACGATGTTATTCCTTCACCGTGGAAGTCAATCGTGAGCATTTGTTGAGTACGTATTTCATTAGAGAAATTGGTATCCGCCTGCGGGATTCGAACACCGATGCATCGCTAGATACAAATGCATCGGACGTCTTATCCTTTAAGCCACGGCGACTTCAAACTTTTTTTTTATAGTAGAAGAAAAGATACCGTTTCCAGTATCATCTGTGTGTGGGATTCGAACATGGACCTAGTCGCATCAATCGATACGAGCACCCGACTCGAAGTCTTATCTTTAAGGCCACGACGATTCCTATCCGAGCGATAAAACAGCTAATTTAGTTTTCTAAACCTAATTATTGTTTTGTAAATAGAACGTAAACAAATAGATTACTAATAGCTGTGAACTTAGCTCAGTACACTAAGCGATAAATACAAAATAGATGCTTCCGAAGTAATTTCATTTGATTATTATGGAGAAAATACGTGGTTCTGTATGACCGTGGCTACTTATCTTTGAATTAATACGTGAAGCAAAAACTTTGTAATCCTTTTTACGAAAATCGCGTTCACGGAGGAATATGAAATTTCCCACACTTATAGAAAATATAGGGAATGCTAATATTTTTTTACAATTATGCATTAATAATCACTAGAGGTCCCGCAGTAGTCGAAATTCGACTATAATTAATTGGAATTGTAAGTTTGTACACTATTATGGTTGTATTTTATACTTCTATAATCACAAATTTCGCCAAGACTACACTATAAAAAATATTAACAAAGACAAACCATATTCTATTCTCAATTTGACAACAGACGTCAAGAACAAAAGTTTGACAATAAATACTATGCATGCCTGTGTGCGTCAAATACATGGTATGTAGTGTGTGTAATGTTTTCTTTATTGATTTAATGTATTTTTTATGCATTATTTTAAAAAAATATTAGCATTGTGCACTTCTCTATATTCTCTATAAGTGTGGAAAATTTCATACTCCTCCGTCCGCGCAATTTTAGTAAAAAGGGATACAAAGTTTTTGCTTCACGTATTAATATATAGATACATTAAATCAATAAAACAAACATTACACACACTACCATGTAATTGACAAACACCCGCGCATTTATACTGTTTTGTTTATTGTTTAATTTTCTGTGGTCAAATTGAGAATAGATGAATATTATGTATTGTTTGTCTTTAATATTATTTGTCTATAGTGTAGTCTTGGCGACATCTGTGATTATAGAAGTTTAATAGTCTTTGACAATAGAACCATAATAGTGGTCAAACTTATAGTTTCAATTAGTAGTAACTACAGTCTAATTTCGATTACTAGGTGACCACTAGTACCATAATATAATATGGAGCTATTGTTAAAAAAAATTTTTAAGGTTAATTTTATTGGTCTGAAGACAAGGCTTATGGTTGAATGTGATAGGTTTTATTTATATTTATTGTTATACACATTTTGGGGTATCTCGTTCCTTTTATCCCACTTTGCATCTAAGTGTTATTTTATGTTGCACTTTTAGAATTGAAGTGGTTTAACTAAAAAAAATTAAGAAAATGAGTTTTCTTTTACTTTGACCGTCTTATAAACGTGTATTCTATCAGTTTATAAAATTGAATTTCCTAAATAAAAAAAATTAAAAAAAAATTAGCCTAGAAAAGGACAAAGTACACTTTCCGTCTCTTTTAAATCAAGCACATACTTTAAACTCTAAGATATGTGCCTTAAGATTTAAAGTATTAAAATCGAAACTGAAAAATTTACAATTAATTTACAAGAAGATTTTTAGATTAAACCACTTCAATTCTAAAGATGCGATGTGTAAATACATACTGGTCATACAGTTTCAATAATTCATAGAATCAATCGTTCATGCTTATGGGAAATTAATTATTGAATAGGAATTTAAAAAAATATTGCAGCAATACAAGAGCGCTGTGTTAATAGTATTGTACTAATAATAAGATAAGACTATTATAACAATGTGAAGGAAAAAAAAACGGTATAATAAGAATGTCAACATTGATGGAATGTAGATTCTTCATACGGTTACGGAATTACATATTTATATAATAAAAATATGTTTACAGTAATCTGTTTTGGAATTCATTGCATTTATGATGTCTATAATAACGTAGGGTGGATTGTTAGTGCGCGTGGAATTGTGTTGATTATTTTTAACAGGAAAGTAGGACTGTAGGACATATTCTGAACTGGTGGTAGGACGTCTTATGAGTCCATACGGGTAGGTACCAATACCCTGCCTATTTCTGCCGTGAAGCAGTAATGCGTTTCGCTTAGAAGGGTGGGGCAGCCGCTGTGTTGTAAAAACGGAGACCTTAGAACTCATATTTCAAGGTGAGTGGCAGCATTTGCGTTGTAGATGTCTGTGGGCTCCGGTAACCACTTAACACCAAGCGAGCCGTGTGTTTGTCCACCTATCTAAGTAACTAGCGACCCGCCCTCGCTTCGCTTCGGAAACATTAAAACACACATGAAACCAAAAAAATTAAATATTTTTTTTTTTTAAAGTAGCCTATGTTCATCATGGACAATGTCGGCTTCTAATGGAAAAAGAATTTTTCAAATCGGTCCAGTAGTTTCGGAGCCTATTCGAAACAAACAAACAAAAAAATCTTTCCTCTTTATAGTATTTATCTATTATCTAAGTAATAAGAAAAACCGCTCGAAGGAACAGGTACTGCGGCGAAAGCAATTCGTTCTGTCGGTTTTGAAACGTTATCTTTAAAAACAATTGAGCGAAACGAGCCATCTGAAATCTATAAATCTATATATATATAAATGAATTGCTGTTCGTTAGTCTCGCTAAAACTCAAGAACGGCTGGACCGATTTGGCTAATTTTGGTCTTGAATTATTTGTGGAAGTCCAGGGAAGGTTCAAAAGGTAGATAAATATGAAAATTCCTTTTGTTTGTTTTAAGTTTATTTTATACAAAAGTTTAAGTCTTTTATTTATCGATTGAGGCACTACGAAGTCTGTCGGGTCAACTAGTACTCATTAAAATAGCTATACTATGTCTAAGTTCGNCGGCTGGACCGATTTGGCTAATTTTGGTCTTGAATTATTTGTGGAAGTCCAGGGAAGGTTCAAAAGGTAGATAAATATGAAAATTCCTTTTGTTTGTTTTAAGTTTATTTTATACAAAAGTTTAAGTCTTTTATTTATCGATTGAGGCACTACGAAGTCTGTCGGGTCAACTAGTACTCATTAAAATAGCTATACTATGTCTAAGTTCGTGAGTGACAGTGAAATAAGTATCTACTCTATGTATTCCAAAGTATCGTTCGATTAAGCGTATTAGGTCATTTTCTCAAAGGTGTCCAAAAGGCCAGCGCTATTTATGTTTTTTTAGAACATTGGCCCACGTAATCTATGATTATATGCCAATTAGTGTCAAAATGATAAACTTTGTCACAAAATTAGAGTGCCTATATAAACATATTTTTAAATTAGGAATATAATTGGAATTGAATATGCGACAAAATTATACATTTTGAAACAACCGAGACAGCAATATCTGCCCCCGCACAGATGTTGAAGGTAGAGGGAGATAGAAATACAAATTTTGCCGCTAATTTTGTTGACGTATTACTCAACAAAATGAAATATGTATTAACCAAACATAAAATGAAATTATTAGTGGAAAATTTATTCCGTCTAGTTTGTAATCAAAGGATTCTAACATTTTATTAAAACACTTTAACGAACACGTGTATTCATAGAAAGAAAGTGGATTTCCTTTAACTTAAGTTTATCTGTGCTTACTCTGTGTAAATGGTAGTTCGTATTAATGTTATATAACTATAATTAAAACCGCGGCGAATAAAATAAGCGGCAGATAAAAAGAAATGTGAAGTTTTAAGTTTAATTTCTATTTAGAATTGTGAATTGACTATTAAAAATATACTTCAAATGTCGTTTTTTTTGTTTTTACAGGTTAGTGTAGTAGTGGTGGTAAGAAATTAAATAAAATTCTTTGTTTTTTAGATTTATCAACATATTGACGGGCTATTTGTAATTGCAACGAAAATTACTATTTTTATATAAGCTTAAACGCAATCAACCATTAGTTGATTTCGTATTGATTATTCATTCATCATCATTCGATCATTAATAAACTATTAAGTGGGAAATTTATTTTTTAAACTAGGTATACTTTTGTGTGAATTCCATGTTGGTCACTACTGTATACGCAGCGTCGAGAAGAGTGGTTTTTCCCGTACCTATTCGCTGGTGGCCTAAGGGAATATTCTAGCCATGCGCAGACCGGTAGGTGAGCTCACGGGCTCAATATGAGAGAATTTGTTAACTCTAGCCCTAGCAAGAGCAGTGCTTCGCTATCTAGCATCATCAGCCTATATCAGTCCACTGTTGGACATAGGCCTCTCCAATTACCCGCCACAGAGCACGATCCGCGGTTTTTTTTTTCTTTGATTCGTGGACGATCTCACGGCCCACCTGGTGTTAAGTAGTTAATGAAGCCTATGGACATCTACAACGTAAATGCGCCACCCACCTTGAGATATAAGTTCTAAGATCTCAGTATAGTTACAACGGCTGCCCCACCCTTCAAACCGAAACGCATTACTGCTTCACGGCAGAAATAGGCAGGGCGGTGGTACCTACCCGCGCGGATTCACAAGAGGTCCTACCCCCAGTAATTACGCAAATTATAATTTTGCGGGTTTCACTTTTATTACACGATGATATTCCATCACCGTGGAAGTCAATCGTGAACATTTTTTGAGTACGTAATTCATTAGAAAAATTGGTACCCCACTGCGATTCGAATACAGGTGCATCGCTCAACACGAATGCACCGGACGTCTTATCTCTTAGGCCACGACGACTTCATAAACGGCTTCACGGTTTCTCTCGTCCAGGTCCTGCCAGCCACCCTGCACAGATCAACACTCCACCGAGCCTGAGGGCGTCCTGCACTGCGTTTGCCAATTCACGGTCTCCACTCAGGATCGCGTTTGAATCAAGCACCGAACCGAAATCGCGACCCATTGAGAAGATCCGGCGTGAAACTCAGTGGCTTGTAGACTAGTGTAAGGGCCTTTTTTTTTTGCTTAGATGGGTGGACGAGCTCACACCACACCTGGTGTAAAGTGGTTACTGGAGCCCATAGACCTCTACAACGTAAATGCGCCACCCACCTTGAGATATAAGTTCTATGGTCTCAGTATAGTTACAACGGCTGCCCCACCCTTCAAACCGAAACGCATGAACTAAACTATATTATGCAGCATAAACGAATGTACACTTCGGCGTGAATGAAATTGTTCTAATAACCTCATTTTAATATTCGGTCCGGTTATAATTTGATAGGTTAGTTTTAAATGATAGTTTTATATGGTAGAGGGGGAAGAGGTCGACCGAAGAAGACATGGATGGAGTGTGTGAATAACAATATGAGAGAGAGAGGAGTGAGTGTTGAGATGACGGCTGATAGAAGAGAATGGAAGAGAAAAATTTGAATCCAAATTCCGAATTCACTATTCCCAGATACGATTGTTTCGTATTACTAACACTAACATTGTAAAAATAGAAAAGCTCGTGGAATTTCTTCGATTTGATAAGATTATCGTTTTGTTTGACATTTAATGGCATTAGAACGAATACGTTTTATGTGTCTAATAATAGTTAATGTTCAATTGTTCATCAAAAATATTCATTCAATTCTCAGCTAGCAAGAGCTGGATGAGAGAAGCCTTTGCTGGAAGTAGGACCTCTTGTGAGTTCACACGGATAGGTGACACAACCCTGCCTATTTCTGTCGCGAAGCAGTAATGCGTTTCGGTTTGAAGGGTGGGGCAGTCGTTGTAACTATACTGAGACCTTACAACTTATATCTCAAGGTGGGTGGCGCATTTACGTTGTAAATGTCTATAGGCTCCGGTGACCACTTAACACCAAGTGGGCTATGAGCTTGTCCACCCAACGCTAACCCTTAAGTACTTACTACGCCAGTACATGTACTAAAATCGGAACGACACAGAGAAGATCAGCTTGGCCCCTACGCAAGGATGATATAGTTACAACGGCTGCCCGTGCGGACTCACAAGAGATCCTACCACCAGTATAAGGTAAGACTGCTGCGACAGAAATAGGTATAGGAAGTATGTATCCAGGGAATGCTTGGATGTGAGTCTCTAACAGTAATACCAATAGGATATCATTGAACAGATTGCATATCGACGCTTGAAAGGCAAACGTGACTAAGCGACAATAACTGCTTTGTACATAGATGATAGGCAATAATCATATTCGGTGCGTAAAAAATATATATGTCTAGGTCTATTAAAATCATTTCAATCCTACAGCTACTAGTTAGATTCTACTACAGCTAGATTCGTTAAAATAAATTTTGTTTTCAGGTATTTCAACTTTAAATTAGTCTACTGTAAAGTTCACGCATTGTCACTTAGTCACATTTGCCTTTCAAGCGTCGATATGTAAAGTGTCATTTCTGTTTTAGCGTGTAACAAACACGTCTCTATTTCATAAAGAGCGAATTTCGTATTTAACGTACCTATGTTTTAGTATTCGTGAGCTTGCACAGTTTTTTCATTTTGCGTAATTAAATGTTTTAGTTTTCCTGAGCTTGCGCAGTTTTTTCTTTTTGCGTAATTATAAATTTTATAATAGTGTGCAGTACATACTATTTCTGTTATATTATGAAAACATAGATAACATGCTCATTTAATTGGGTTCAGCGTTGTTAGTTTCGAAAACACGTGATAACATGACGCTAATAAGGCACGTTCTAATCTAATCGTAAATTAGAAATTTCTTTTTCTTTTTTTTTTTTAATTAAAAACTTTTCTCTCGAAGTGAATGTTTATGATAAGTTGTATTGTACGGCTTTGCCCCCCCCCCCTAGACCATATCGAATCTAATTTATGTGAGGTGTACTATTAGTACGCAATTCAATTCGTAAAAAAAATAATAGTGAAAACGATTGTGGAAAGTATATGTGTAAATTAATATTTAACTAAATTATTTTCGTATTAAGAAATTGAAAAAAAAAACTAAAATTTTAATTTTAGATAGAATAATTAATAGAACAAAAGTATCTAAATATAAAATTCATGTTATTTATTCGGGTTTTTCGGGTCATCTACAAGTCTTAATCATACAAATTTCATTATTTCTCACCTGTATTTGAGGTCCATAGCTTCGAAATTATAGACAGACGAATACATTCCGGCGAGGAAAACCGGGAACAATATCAACGTGTAATTCCAAATATTGAATCTACCGAACGGTCCTAAAATACTCAAAATATCGTCAACGGTCACTGAGTTATTCTGCTTTTTCTCCGGATCCATTCTGAACATAAGCCACACACGAAATCTCCTATTAAAAAAAAAAACTTTCAAACTATGCGTAGAATAAAAATAAAAGTTAAATATTTGTGTTTTTTTTTTTTTTCAAGTTCTTAAATATTTGAATTCTATTATTTTATTCTTTTGTATTACAGAGTTGTGAATAGGTGCGCGCGCGCGACACCGGTCCCTCGACCGATACTACGCGAACGCTCAACAACTCACAGTTTTTATTGTCGAAGTTAAAATCATTGCTCGAATGAACTTAATGATAACGTAACTATAGTTTGTTCGTTGCTAGCCGCAAGTTTGTTTTACAGTCCTATATAATAGGTTGGGGGAGAAGTCTTTTCGCATTATAATATACCAGATGATGACCGACGTTTGCTCGTTTTTTTTTTTAATAACGCCATCTTGTTGTGGCCTTAAAGCGGTTAGTTGCCCTCAATTAAGAAAAATAGTATTATTATTCGCCAATAGATGTCGGGAAGAGTTGATTATTGAAAACACGAATAAAACAACATTTTCTGAAAATAAATCGTAGCTAGATCGATTTATCGCCCTCGAAATCCCCTGTATACTAAATTTTATGAAAATCGTTGGAGCCGTTTCCGAGATTCAGATTATATATATTTACACAAGAATTGCTCGTTTGAAGGTATAAGATACTTGTAATAAAATCTCTTTGGCTATACTATTTGTAAGGGGTGTGGTTTTTCATCATGATAACGCTAGACCTCACCCATCTTTAGCCACTCAGCAAAAATTAAGAGAGCTTGGCTGGGAGGCGTTAATGCATCCGCCGTATAGTCCTGACCTTGCACCTTCAGATTTTCACCTGTTTCGGTCTCTTCAGAATTCTTTAGACAGTGTCCGGTTAACATCACGAGAGGACTGCCAAAACCAATTGCCCCTTTGATCAGAAGCCCCAAATTTTCTATAGCAATGGGATCATGTCCCTACCAACAAGATGACAAAAAGTTATCGAACAAAATGGTACCTACATACTTTAGTTAAATGTAAATAAACTACATTAAAAAAGGTCGTGTATTTTCTTAAAAAATGCGAAGAAACTTTTTCCCCGACCTATTATATCGGAAATAGTTTGACCGCAACGCGCATAACTATAATCTGAATTGCGCGTTTGACAACTATTTTATTGTTATTGAGTTTACGTAGGTCGACGGATGTAAGAAGCTACGCAGGACTTCAATCATTTTGACGTGTAACCGTATCTTCATACGAAAAACTTCCACGAATGAGTTCCACGTTGTTTTAAAAGTGTTTTAAAACTGTGTAAAAGATGACACGCAAAATTCAGCAGTAATTGCGTACGGGATTGAAGAATGACTTAGAACTCATGACACCGTTTACGTTGTCGATGTCTTTGCGCTCCGGTGAACAGTTAACAGAAGAGAATGGGGTGCATTCGAAGAGACCTACACTCAGCATTGGGTGGACACGGGTTGAAGAAGATACCAATTAACGCTATAATCCCGTCTACGTAATAAATAAAAATGGGGTATTGAGAGCATATCCGTGTAAGCCTGTTTATTGCCATCGAAATACGGCAAGTGAAAGTCTTCAAGATCGCTCATGGATCTTCATTACCACCGTTGAAAACTATCCGCAAACCTTGATTAAAAAGGGCTTGGTATAGCTTTCACTAAGCACCGTGGAGAGGAGTGTACCATCGTGACACGTGAGAGAAATCATATCTCAAAACACACTGGACGAGTATAGAGGTTTCACGTAGCGATTCCCATACACACAGCCCACTGAGTTTCTCACTGGATCTTCTCAGTGGGTCGCGTTTCCGATCCGGTGGTAGATTCTGCGAAACACTGCTCTTGCTAGATCCAATGTTAGCAACACTTCCGGTTTGAGCCCCGTGAGCTCACCTACACGTTAGGGTGAAGCTGAAATAGCCTCTCAAGGCTATCAGCATAGTTAGGAAATTTTTTTTTGCGACGATCTGGGCTCCTATGACGGGTGGTTCGATGGTGATCGTGAAAATGAGATCATGGGAACGTCTCGAATAATCCTTCAGTGTATCCTTGTGGAATACATGATACAAAGCACATAAAGGACGAAAGTCTCTCCGTAAACCTAGAGGCTTCAAATTGTTGACGAGATACACAGATAGCATAATTCTGCTTGTCTACAAATTACTTATGTCCACTGGCTCGTAGGTTTTTTATTTATTTATTTTTTATTGCATAGATGGGTGGACCAGTTCACAGCCCACCTGGTGTTAAGTGGTAACCGGAGCCCATAGACATATATAACATGCATTTATGTGGCCACCCACCTTGAGATTTGAGTTCTAAGGTCTCAGTATAGTTACAATGGCTGCCTCATCCTTCAAACCGAAGCGCATTACTGCTTCACGGCAGAAATAGGCAGAGTGGTGGTACCCACCCGCGCAGACTCACAAGAGCTCCTACCACCAGTAAACATTAAAACACCAGTAAAATTGTATGAATGTTCCATCATGGTCGATGCAGGAATGTGTGTACCCATCGCGACTGTCGAACCTCCATCTTCGTCCGGCACCAGTACATATAATATCAAAACCGAATATCGAATTTAACAATACGATAAAACCGTAACATTCTATCAGCTATTTCTCATCTAATGTCATGTAATCAGGGATCGAATTCTCCGTTGTCCTAGCAATAACGAAATCAGTACAGTGTCCAAATACACAAGTCGCGTGCAAACCGCCAGCTGATAGTACAACGAACAATAGAACACTTGTACGTACACTGTACAATGTATCAATTGGATACGAATCAAAACTGAGGACTTCGAGGTCAGAGGAATCCGATGCCAAGTTTATCCGATTAGATTCGATCAGATCCCGGTCAATACTACAAACCCGGTTAATACTCGACAGGCTTGGAGCCCCCCTGGTATTAAATGGTTACCGAAGTCCATAGATATCAATAACGTAAATTCTATCAGCCACACTGAGACAAGTATAACGGTTGGCTCATCCTTTTAAGCGAACCCGGTCGGCGGCGTATCGCGTTCCGACCCGGCAGGCTGGTTCTGGCCCAGCGGGGTATCCCGGAACACCAGCGGCATCGCCTGGGCGGCCTGGTAGGGCCGCCTTACCGCGGAGACCGACGTCGTTGGTCGTCGACTATCGCCGCGACGACCCGTCGGTCGGGCGTCCTCGGGGCGGCGCCGCGTGTCTGGTTGTAGTGTTGACCCCGGGAACCCCCCTACTCTGACCGGGTTCTGACCCCGGACGGAGATCAGACGTCGGGCGTAAGAGTGCAGGGGAGTCGTTTAGTGGGTGGGCCCTAAAATCCTTGGGCCCACGATCTGCTCTCAACACCTGCAGATCGTTGAGTCTCACATACCCCGCGCGCCCCTTATGCGCGGGGACCTCGTAGGAGGTTCGGCCCCCGGACCGGAAAAAAGTTTTTTTTTAAGCGAAACGCGAATTGACGAATTACTGCGTTACGGCAGAAGTAGGCAGGGTTCTTGCACTTACACCTACGGGTTCACAAGACGTCCTATCACCAGTAAGCTTGCAACAGTTACACCCTGGTCACGGAGACGTCCCGTAGGCAGAAATACCACTGGAAATCGTGATAATTTTGTGGCAGAAATGAGGAAAATTTCATCATGTACCTACTTTTAAGGTTTGTTGCACTCAATTTAAAAACTAAATACACATATTTAACAAGTGTACCCACATTTGTTGCACCCAAATTAAATACCAATGCGTATTTAACAAGTGACAAACAAACCTACACGAATTTGAATAAAGCATTATGATATGACTCAAGCATTTCAGCAAATCCCAAATCGATGTTGCATTAGCAATTAGCGTTGCCCTGAATAAACCTAACCTTTGGAAATTTGAAGGTTAAAAGTCCTAATTTTGCTTACGATTTGTTAGTTTATTTTCTTTTTTTTGTTAGTTTATTTTGCGTATTAGCAAGCGGGTAAGGATCATGACACCGCACCGTAAATAATGAATCCCATTTGGTAATACGAGATCATCTTTGTCACCGTGCGATGAACAATTCGACGAGCAACTTAATTCACAGTCACGACCTACTGAGTTTCTCGCCGGCTCTTCCCAGTGGGTCGCGATTCCGATTCGTCAGTAGATTTGAGTAGCATTTGAGATTTGAGATTAAAGTAGAGATTGAAGTAGCATTACTGCCAAAAAATCTCATAAATATAAAAGACACGACCGCTGAGTTTGTTGTGTGTATTGTTCTCAGAATTGTTTCACTACTTGGAACCGGAGGTATCATTTTGTTTTGACTAACAACATGAATGTTGAATGATATCTAAATTTAATAATAATCTAAATTATTTTGAAAACGAATGAGTATAATTCAATATCGAGTCAAGGGTGCAAAATTGAAAATTAAATCTGGGTAAGTCTAAGTAAGCGATCGTGGAAGTTAAAGTATACTCCCAGTACCTCGGGGGACCTCGTAGGAGGTTCAGCCCCCGGCTCGAAAAAAAAAGGCCATTCCAATATGAAAGTAGCTAACCACTTTGAGATATTAAGTCCAAGTCTCAATTAAATTGTGCAAACATTGTCCCAGGATTAAAACTTGTTATGAGGTAAACGATGAATAAAATTAGATTATTTTCACCCAAACAAATTCAACTCGACTGTATCACTGCAGGGTACATCCGGTACTTTATTAATTTAGTTATTCAATAAAGCTATATCTCATTGTAAACAACTTTATCGTTTACCAACTTTCGAAGCCAACGGCAGTGGAATAATATAGAATATGCGATGGCTCCATTGTAAATATTACGGCTTAGATTACATAGAGAGTGCGCGACAGAGATAGCGATCTACTAAGCCGAAATTAGCCGACTGTCTCTTTCCTGCGGTCGATGTGCAATGTTTATAGCTGGGGACTGTAGTTCGGAAAGTAAGCACGTTTTAGGGAATAGGGATATAGTAGCGGTATAGTATTAGGGATATGTAAGGATATAATAGGGATAATAGGGATTAAGCCACT